GTCCTGCGCTGCCCGCCCCCCCCCCCTGCGTCGGCCGCCTTTCTCGGCTGCGCGCGCCGCCCCATCGGAGGGCGGGCAGGGCGCTCCAACACGTGGTCTCGCCATCGAGGAACGCAGCGGCTGCTCTGTTCTCTTCGTCGAGGGGACCGGAGGGAAACCTTTTCTTGGCACGACCGGGCGCCGAAGCAGCATGCCAACACTCAAGCTCGCATGTCGCTTAGGCGCCCTTCCCGAGCGTCCACCGGGAGTACCAGGTGGACTTCGCTATCCGCGCAAGTGCAGACGTGCCGCTGACCCCGAGATACCAGATGGAATTCACCGTCCGCGCAACTTCAATCACCGCTCACCGCGAACGTCCACAACAGATATCAGGTGAAGTTCACTTTCCGTGCGAGTTCAGACATGTTTGGAGGATGTCTCTAGCGAAACGCTATGTTTTAAACACAAGTGTTGAAAAGGCCATTGATTTTCCAACAATGTTGCCTTCGAGGGCCCGTCCGAAGGCAATTGTTGGAGGATGTATCGAGCGAAACGCTGATTCTCAACGAAGTGTTAAAAATCACGTTTGGTTTGTTTCGAATATTTCTGCCTCTTCAGCCATCTTGGAGGTCATCCGAGATCGCTCCGAAAAGATGCCTTACAGGAGCTCTTTGCGCATCCCATTTTTCGAGGATGTCTCAGGCGAAACGCCCATTTTTGGAGGTCCGCGAATTAGACCAACGATTTCAACCTTCCCATTGTCCGAGGATGTCTCGAGCGACATGCTCATTGTTAACATAACACCTCTTAAGCGGAAACCTCCAATATCTCGGTTGTGTGAGGATGTCTCGACAAAGCGCTCATTGTGGGAACCTTTCTTGACATGAACGGGAAGCGTGTGAAATCAAAGAGTTTGGCAAGCACGTGCACCAACATTCAAGTTCGCATGTCGCGTAGACGCCCTTCCCGAACGTCCACAAGGGGTACCAAGTGGACTTCGCTAACCGCGCAAGTTAAGACGTGCCGCTGGCCCCGAACGTCCGCAAAAAGAACCAGATGGAGTTCACGACCCGCGCAAATTCCGACGTGCCGCTCACCCCGAACGTCCACAAAAAGATACCAAATGGAATTCACCATCCACGCAACTTCAGTCACAACTCGCCGCGCACGTCCGCAAAACATACCAGGTAGATCTCACTACCCGCGCGAGTTTAGACGTCGCTCTTACCCCGAACACCCACAACAGGTATCAGGTGGAGTTCACTTTCCGTGCGAGTTCAACAATGTTTGGGGGATGTCTCGAGTGAAACGCAATGCGTTTAACAAAACTGTTGAAAACACATGGGTTGTTTCAGTAATTTCGCCTTCAAGGACAAGTCCGAAGCCTTCAGTAATTTTGCCTTGCAGGAGCTGTGTCGGCATCCCATGTTTTCGAGGATGTCTCAGGCGAAACACCCATTTTCGAGGCTCCGAAAATTAGGCGAGCGATTCCAATATCTCCATTGTTGGAGGACGTTTCGGGCGAAACGCCCAGTTTTAGCAACTGACGTCTTAAGGTACGACCCCCAACTTCATGATTTGGCGAGGATTTCCCGAGCGAAACGCTCGTTTGGGGAATCCGCCTGGCCATAATTATCCCATCATATTTCCCCCAGTTGAAAATATTTCTGGGCCTGCAGCAACGTCCATTGCGCGACTCTTCGAGTCTACGCGCGCTTCCCCTCATCCGTCAGGCCTTGATCACGGAGCTATCCCGAGCCCTTTCCCCCCCACAGTTGAACATATTTCCTTCCAGGCCCGCACCAACGTCCATCGCGCGATTGTTCAAGTCTTTGCGCGCTTTTCGTCATCCGCCAGGCCCCCCCCTCCTAGAGTTACAACATGTTTTGAGTCAGAGTCTCCAGAGGTGGAGGTAACTAATCCGCCATGGCCCCCCCCCCCGCCGGGTTAGAACATGTTTTCGTTTAGTGTTTCCAGAGGTGGACACATGCGGAGTTGTGCAGTCCGTCCTGGTTCGTTGCTTGTGAGTTTCCCTTCGCTTTCTTTCTATGTCATTTTGACGGCTCATCTTTCGGAGTAGTCCGAAGGCCCCCCCCCCAGATGGGAATTCAATGTATGTGCAAGCACATATATAAAGAATGGAATGTAATGGAATGGGATGGAACATAATGTCATGTCATGTCATGTAAAGGAACGGAATGTAAATTGATGGCTTGGAATGTAAGGTAATGCGTGTATGTGCATCTAGTGTTTCTGTATGGCAACATTCGACTTCAATGCATACTTATGTACGTCTACATGCTTACACGTAACTAGACTTATGTTAACATGCGTAGATTGTTAATTCTGCATGTGTAGCCTCAAGGGCTCCGCCCATTTCCGTCAGCCGCCTCTATTTTGGAATAGGAGACGTTCGAGCTCTGCCAGGACGTGGCGGCGCTGTCGAGCGCCTCGATTCCACCTCAGAGCGCGAAGCTGGAGTAACTTACGAAGAAGTTGGCTTCGGGAGCACGGGTCTGTCGCAATTCACATCGGACTCCTGGCTCTGGAGCTTGAATCTGGTGTACTCTGCAACGAACTCTGGAGCGCGGATCTGGCGGAATCTGATCAGATTCTGGCTTCGGGAGGAGGAGGGAGAAGGGGGGGAGGAGGAGAAAGAGGAGGAGGAGGAGGAGGAGGAGGAGGACGAAGAGGAGGAGGAGGAGGAAGAAGATGACGAAGAGGAGGAGGAGGAGGAAGAGGGGGAGGGAGCTGGTTCACGCAGATGAAGGGGCTCAACATCTGCATCTCATGGGAATGTACCGACAATACCTGGGTATTGTATGGTGGGTTATATCTAGATGGATATCATGCGAGGGTATGGATCACGAGTTTCTTTCCATATGATTGGGGTCGGCGTCACCGAGACCACAATAAAGAGATGCATGCTTTACATGGCAATGGACCGTCGATGAAGCAGGCATTAGCACGAGCACTCAAGGCAAAGCACACGCCGCAGATGGACAAAAGCCGAGTCCTTACTATGCTGGAGGCAGCAAGTGTGGACAAACCTCAAAAGATGCATGATCACTTGAAGAAGTTCTCCACAGAGCGAATGGCCAAGATAGCAGCCATGCCCGCCAAGGAGATAGCAGATGCGATGAAGGTATGGTTGGAGGAGAAGCCTTACGGAGCCACCCCGCCAGCCAAGCCGCAACCGCCCAAGAAGCAGAAGGCTATGCCCCCAAAGTCAAAGACAGGCTGGCAGTACCAAGCGAGCCTCGACCCTGCGGACTGGGACATCCCTGTGAGGCGTGGCCTTCCGCAGGATTACGAGAGTATGAAAGCAGTACACCTTGTCACAACGGACGAGTTCCTTGAGCTCGCGCGTTTGGACTCATTTTGGCAAAGACCAGATCCTGCTGATGCTTTTGGATTCGTCTTGGCACAATCACCCAGTCAGGTCTCGAAAGAATTGTTCATGCTGTGTGGCCAGAGGGGTCTGGCTCCATGTATTACTCTCTTAGACGTGCCGCTCATATACGAAGAGAGACGCCATATCAAGCAACTGTACGTTTGGCAATATGGAGGATCGACTCAACAGAAAGTTGAACCAACCAGAGTGCCGACTGCTATTACATGTACACAGGATGAGCTCATGAATGTCGCGATCCTCGAAGAGCATGCTCCCGAGAAGATCTTCAAAGAGCTCCTCAAACTACACAGACAAGCAACGTCAGCCCGAGATCAGCGGGCAGAAACATCAGGTCAAAAAAGAAAGTTCGACACTATCCCGCCATGGAGAGTGCTGGATGCTGAATTGGCAAGTATCGTGAAGGCAAAGTGCAACGGAGGCGCAGATATGGACCTGCGCTGCTGGAGCGGCAGAGTCTTCAATGAAGATCTTCCAGGTCATCGTGTGGTATCGGGATTGTTCAAAGTATCAGCCACACGTGCGGTGCAACTACGAGCTGCGTCAGGACCAGATGGTGTTATCTTCCAACGCTCACGAGCAGGAGGTATTATCAACGCGGCCCTGGACGAAGAAAAGAATACAGAAGATTTTGTCCCGTTCCCGAAGGCCATCTCCCTGACGGATGCGCTCAACATGGTCACGGACCTAGAGGGCGGCCGCGGGCTAGGCTACAAACAAAATGGTGCATTGTTCTTCAGAGTTGAGAAGTCGAAGTCAGGCCCAGCCTGGCAGAAGTTGCAGTCGAGAACCCCACCAGCGCCGACCCTCTACGAGATTTCACCGTTACCGAAGCTCGTCGAAGGGAAGCAGATCGTGCAAGAGATATCCACTCAGCTGGGGTGGAAAGCAGAGTTTGTTCATATACGTTCCAAGGGAAGAGGTGCTAAAGCTACGCCAGTTGTGCGTTGTCGAGCTGAAGGCCCCCCATCGGTCTCGGACCTCACCCTGGCAGGAGTAAAGGCAACAATCAACATGGTCAAGCAGAAGAGTGCTACACCAGCCCCATCAGCAACATCCTGGGCGGAGATGGTCACGAAGTATGACAAACCTGAGCCCAAGACGACACCGGCCACCAAGAAGACGAGTTTGGCCGCACAACTCACGCGACCCGCACCTGCTCCGCAGCAAGGTCAGCCAGTGCAGCAAACTCCACCACCTTCAGACACACCACCATCCACGCCAGGCTCCGCGATGTCCCCTGAATTTCAAAAGTTCTTGCTGGAGGCAATTGGACAGGCGGTGGCTGCAAACAATCAAAAGATCTATGCCCAACTTCAGCTTCAGGGGCAAGGTATTGCAAAGTGCTTCGAAGTTCTCCGCTCAGATGCAGGCTTATCCAGTGCTGAGAAGGAGCAAAACGAGGAGATTGAACGTCTGAGCAAAAGGCTCAAAGACAGTGCTGCAACTGACATGGATCAGTGATGATGCCCTCGCGTCGTCTGCGAGGGAAACAAGCTCCTGCAGTGTCTCCCTGTGGTCCTGCAGGTCTCGCCACTATCCTTTCTGCAAATATTACTAGCTGGAATACTTTTTCTGGCCGCCTTGCTCTCATGAATGCAGATGTCCT